TCGAAACTGATCAAAAACGTTGGGTTTGAGTGACTGCTGCCTCAGCCTTACTGGACGTCAAGTTAGAGTCCGTAATCAATACAGCGATTATTAAAAAAAAGTCACATTCAATGTCATGAATTAGTGCACCTATCATAAACTTCCTTACAAATTTCACTAAAGTAGCGTCACAAAATGTGAGATTTTGATTGCAAAAAACTTCAAAAACAATCCCAAAAACCTGGATGGACGAAAAAGATCTTCAATATTTAATTTTGAAAAACACTTATTCAGTAGAAAAAAACAAAGCCAGTTTTCAATAATTATATTGTTATCAACAGAATCCTTTGGTAAGCTAGCGGCAGCGTCGCACAGCAAATAAGCGCTTGTTTACATGCAGTACCTTGCGGGCCGCTAGGGGGCGCCCGGGGACCACAGTTAACCATTTCAGTCCTGAGGACAGACCCTGTTTTGTCGCCTAAACCTACGCCTACATGCTAACGCTAATTAAATCCACCATTATGAGCAGATAGGTGATCTCCGCCGCATAATGGGCCAGTTCTGGTAATCGTTTACACCGCAGGCCGCCCATTATAAGCTTTAAGTTGGGGGAAGAAAACAAAAACATGCCGCTTGTTTTAAAAGAGTTTATGTTTTTGTTTTTTTAGGGGGGGGGGTTGTACTCAGTGGGATCATTATTGTTTCAGCCTGATGGAGGAAGCCGACGGATTATTGAACAAATGGGACATTATTTGTGCCTAATTGCCTTGTTGCTCCTGCAGAAGCAGTTCCACCACAGAAGATTAGCATGCTCCATCAGACTGGAGACCATCAGGCCACTGTGCAGCTCTTGTATTATTTATGCCTGTGCTGGTGTGTGTGCGTGTGTGTGTGTGCTGCTGGAAATGTGGCTGCTTTGTGTTGTTTGTTATTGTGGGAGGCAGGAATGAATATAAATTCCACGGATTAGGATACAAGTAGGTGATTCGCATTCATCACTCCCGGGCTGTTATGCATCCACGCTTGGCAGCTATTGATGAAGGCGAAGGGGAAAAAAAAAAAAGATGTTTCTGCATTGCTGTTGACTAGTTTCGAAATTAAACTTGTATTGTTTTTTGATTGCCGTGCAATTACTGTGATCATTCAATTATGAGCTATGCAGAAAAAAAAAGGGGGAAAAAAGTGAACTCTCTGGTTTCAGCAATTCAAATGTGAGTCTTTTTTTGTTTGCTGTTGTCATACTGGTATTTTTTAGTCATCTTTCAAAGAAAATATTAGTACTTATTCTCTCGATAAATGAAATAGCCATAAAAAGTTAAGTTGCTTTTAAATTTTTCGTTCCAACTTGTTTTCATGCGTCAATCAATTTAAAGATTTTTGACAAAATCAAAGTTTTCTATGTCCTGAATGGGCAATTAATGTTACAGCAAGCATATAAATATATATAAAACTATGGAAAGCGAAAGATGTACACATGTAATCATTTCACTAAAAAACAAAATTGCGAGAAAAATAATTATATCAAAATCTACACTTATTTTCTTATTTCATGTGGCACAAGCAATATTGTGCAAGCAGGGAGTAATTAAACACTTTTCCCCTGAGGTGTAGCTGCCAACCTACAAATTTAATTAAAGTTCATTTTAAACTTTTTTGGGGGGGATCACAATAAATGCACCGAAATATTTCTGAATCATATTAACGAGCCTCAGGCTATTAAAGTAAAGGCTTAACGCCCTGAATCTGTGTTTGAGACTTTTATTTTGGAAGTCAGAAAGTACTTCAGTGTATTGCATTGATTCTAAAAACTGAGAATAACTATTAGCCACCAAAAGTTATTATGCAAAATTGGGAAAACAGAAGCCAAATTTTCTTTCACCCCCCAAAATTAGAAGTTATTTAAAACATTTTTTAACTCAATATTTTTGTCTTCTGGGTGTTGCATTTCTGAAATCCTAACACAGACCCATTTAAAGACATTTATAAAGCATCAACAATGAAAGGAAACATTTTAAGGAAATCTCTTTTTGTAAAATTTAGATTAAAATGAATCAGTTCTCTTCCGCTGAATTGTTACGGATTGTTTGTTTGTAAAAACTACTGTGTCCACTTAAGGGGAAAATAAAAATAATATCATACCCAAGACAAATGCAGGCACTTATTTTGGGTAATTGTGGTGACATAATTAAAAGTGTATCAGTATCTCCTCATTAGCTGCACCAAGCTGCTTATTACTTGGGGAAATGCCACAGTTCTGCACAGATGTGTGGGTTGCATGGATTCTTAAAGACTATTAGTCTAATTCAAATCAGCTAGATTTATTTATTTTTTATCTTTATATTGCTTCTAATTTGAATCAGCTGGGTTTGAAATAGGAGGAATATAAAGCGGAATGTGCAGAATTAAAAATCCATGAAGAAATGAGTGGAAGGCATGCAGATTGATTTTCTATTCTTTTCTAGCGGTGCTGCAAATAGTCTAGATGATTTAGATCTGTGCTATTAAACACAAACCCATTACTGTGATTTAATTAAAGTGCTGCACATTAGTTTGTCAAAGCAACAAACAATAATTGTTTAACTACTTTATTATGGCAACAAAGTCAGTCTTACATTTTGATTATAAACTTAGTCAACAGCTAGCTAGCTAGCTAGCTAGCTAGCTAGCTAGCTCTTCTCATTTATTGTGTTTTGTGTCCTATTTCTAAGGTTCATATGGTTTATATTCTGTAATATATGTCTAATAAGTAAATATCAGAGTTTCCTTAAGATAAGTTGCTGCAAGAATTTATATTTGCATCCAGTTTTAGCTTGTTTATCAACAAGGCTACTTGCTAGCATGCTACAGTGTTAGCATTAGCTGTGGATTGTCACTTCCAATTACTGACTTAACTCTGGTTTTGAAGAAAAAGGAAGTAATTACTGACTAATTGAGGTTAAAAGTTTTATTCTCTATCAGATTCCCATATATTCAAATATTGATTAGTCTAGTTTATTAAGAATGCCGTCAGTGCAAGAGATCATGGACTAATTCTTCATGATCGCAGACAGAGCATTTGCATAGCTTATCCTGTTATTACTGCTTCACTGCTGCAAACTTTGATAGTTCTCTCATACATTCCATATATCGGAGAATAGATAGAAAATTCTCCAACATCATACTGCAGGATTTTCCAAAAATGTAAAAGAAAATGACATAACTTTGGTGGTACAGTGTGAAATGTATTTTTCTGAGCTGTTAGCTGTATTGTATTGTTTTATGAAGTATAAAAAGACAAAAATGTCAGTTTAAGTCAATCCAATTTCTAAAGAGATTAAAATTATCTATTTTTTTTTCTTTTAGAATTCAAAAATTATTTTTAAAGTGCATTTTAAAATTTGTTTGGCGTTTTCCAATTTAGAGACCAAATAGTATATTTTAGAAGCAAAAAACATGCAGGTTTTTAAAATATGAAACAAATAGTTCATAGCTTAAACTTTTTATTGCATTTACAAGTGAAAAATAATGATGTGCTTCCATAAACAGATAATTATGTTAATAGAAACCAGATAGTTTCATTGACAAAAGAAGACATGATCGATTGGAATATCAATCAGCAGAGGCAACAGAGAATCCATGTTGTAAAAACTGACATCTTGACCACAGTTTAAAACAAACCAATTGTAGAAAAAGTTGCATGTTTTCCCTCCATAATTCAAGCATGATGCAAACTGAAGAGTTTTTTTTTTTTTTTGGTAGAAAATAGAAAGCTGATGCTTGGTTACAAAATGGTAACAATGCTGGTCAGAATTGGAGCAAAGATTTGAATTGGAGACGGTCAAAAGTGGCGAAGTGCAGATCGACTGCAGAACATTTAGATTCCTCTGGAAAAAAAAAAAAAACTCCCTTCTTAATTTTTTATATTTTTTATTTTTAAAGAAAAATGTTTTTCTTAAACATTTTTATTGTTATTTAAAAAGATTTTTTTTAAAGAATTTTTTTTATTTTCTCTTTAAAAAGTTTGACAAATTTACTTTGTTTTCTTATTTTAAAAAAAGTTTAAGAATTTTTTTTAACTTTTTTTAAGAACTATTTTAAAAATTTTAAGAATTTTTATTTTTTTTTAGAAAGCCAGACAGTCACCTTGAAGGGCTTTAGAAGCACAGTGCTATTGCTAAAAAAATTTGTTTTTTTTATTTTCTCCTTAATTCAGTGTTGCGTTTTTAAACCTGAACATGAAAAGTTGTTTTAAAAAAAATATGACATTCAATTGCATTCTGAGTCCTAAACTTGTGTGATTTCTACTCAAAAACAATGAATCCAAATAATATTTATGGCAACAAAAGTTTGGGAGGGATCCAACAGTTTGTTTCATGCAGAAAGTTGCTTTAAAAAAAAGACAGAGGGAAAGCACGTTTAATTATTTCCCAAGCAGCTCAACTGATGAGCCTCAAAATGCATCGAGAACAAAAAAAAAAAAAACATAAAACATGAAATTAGAAATTGGAGCAGCTGAGCCCAAAAGCGCAGAGACGCACAGAACCGATGCGTGTGGGTTTGCGGGGTTGAGCGGTGGATTTAGCTCTGGAGCAGCCAGTCGGTAAAATGGAGGAGGTGATAGGCAGTGTGGGATGAGATTGTAGGTACCCAGAGCTGTCAGGAGGAAGAGGAGGAGGAGGAGGAAGAAGAAGCGGGAGGGGGGGCATTGGGGTTGAGTCAAAACATGTCAGGGCTCTGGAGGGAGAACCGGGAGGGATGGCAGGACAGGGAACATAATCAGCCAGTCACATCTCTCCATCCTGACCGTTTTAAGGTCAGGTTCAGGCGGTGTTAATGAACTTGTCACAGCAGCTTTATTGGCAACGACAAAACAGAAGGATCGGCTCTGACTCACTGTGCGCATGCAGCCACCGACTCTACATCTTTATTTATTCCAAATCTGTCCCTGTAAACGCATCCAGTCAGAACCGCGGATAAAAAACGTGGATCTGTTCAGAATATGAGGGAAAATGTTCCCCAAACCCCCTTTTCCCTCCACTTACCCATGTTGTCTCATCGGTCCAGTTCCCCGCTCCTCCGCATGCAGCACGACTCCCTCCGGTCCGTGTCGCCTTTCCCAGCCCAGTCTACTTGAGGAGCGCCGCGGGTGATTCACCTGCCTTCATGGTGGAATAACTCTCTCATCAGAAGAAAACAAAACTCTTAAAGTTTGCGCTGTTGGTCCATGACGCAGCGCAACTTTCCCCAAATAAAGCCGAGAGGATCCGTCACCCAGAAAGCACCATGGTGACGGAACCGGAGCGCGTCCGAGTTCAGAGGTGATGGAGAGCGGCGGCTCTCTGCGCAAACATCCAGCGGGGAGGCAGAGAGGGACCGCCGACAGCCGCGATGCTCCTGCAGCAGCGCAGGTTGATTATTGGCGATGTGCGCGCGCCTGAGCAGGAAGGGGGGCAGGCAGGCAGCCACGCGCGCACGTGTGTGGGCTCAATTAAAACGAATCAGACGCCAAATACCCGACTGGACTCCGCATATCCAGAGACTTTAATGTCATCATCATCATCATCCGATCAGCGCAGTCAAAGTAAAGCGGCGCAGACGCAGCAGCCGCGCGCCTCATTCCTGACGCTGCGTGCTGCAGGTGTGGTGGAGGATGAACGGCGGCTGTATGTGGGCATCATCATCATCATCATCACTACATCGTGAGGAGGCAGCTCGCCTGATCCCACCTCGTGTTGCATAATTACTGCAGATGGGGAGGTTCAGTTCATGCGTTCATGTAAGGCGCTTTCGAGCAGAGGCGGTCCGAGCTTGTTCAGCGCCCTGGGCGAACCACCTATCCCACGGTGGACTCAGACTGGACTCCATATTAACGATTTACTAAATTGTAGCATTTAAGGACTTCAGCACTTAAATCTTGGTTTTACTTTCACTCTGAAAATTGCTGCTTGTGATTCGCCAAAACTCATAATTACTTCAAAAGACAAACATCTTTTGTTATATTTTTCACCCATGGAGGTCGCCATGTTGTCACCTCACTGGAATCTACACAGTAAACAAACAACTACCCGAGTAGTTGTTTGTCATTTTGTGTTTAGCTGGTGCAGGCCCGGCGGCATGGGCAAGTATTGGGGGACACTGGGAAGCATTGGGAGAAATTGGGGGGGAATGGGAATATTGGGGAGCATTGCCCGCCCAGAGTCAGCCGTGCCCTGCTGAACTGGAAGCTGTTTGTTGTTTTTACCTGAGGGGCAGGACTGGTGTAATTTTAGATAATGCCACACTGTGTCACTGTTGTGCGTTAAAAAAAACAACAACAACAAACAAACATCCCACACACATACAAAAAAAACGCAGTGGGAGAAAGCCGGAGCCAAACAACTTCCGAATTATGTACATTTGCCCCTCAACCCAACATTTCTCTCCAGAAGACTTCGAGTCATTTGTAAGAGCAAAACTGACAAATACTCAAACAGGTGACCTTTACCCGCTAATTTTGGGAGTAGAAAATCGCTGACTGCTCCTGCCATAGAAACATCATTAAAACTTCTTTCCAACTTTTCCATATTGCTTTGGTGTGGCATGCTTTATATACGCCAACATTTCTTACTATGGCACTTAGTATTTTATCGCCACAAAGATCAGATTTCTTAATGTTGCATTTTAAATAAAACAAGCAATCCAACGTTTAGCTATGCAAGTGTAATTTCTTGAATGTAAAATCTTAACATCTCCTTAATGTCACATAATTTTCTACATTTCATCCCTAGATGTTTTATTTATGGTCAGAAGAAACAGAATTGAAGCGTGTTTTTCATTTGTATTTGTCATTTTCCTGCTGTGGGCAACAGATCTGCTGCATCTGGCAACGCACGGCAAAACTAACACCGTCTCTTTGAGGTTCTTCTCCGGTGTTTGAGTTTGAATCTAAATCAATTCAACATCCAGCGGTAAATTCACTGTCAGTCAAAAGGAAGTGTTTTTTCCCCCTTTTTTCTTCACGTAACAAGAATCTCAAGAGAAATGTTTCTCTGCAGGTCACTCAGGAGGAAACATGAAAAAAAAAACAAAGATAAAAATGTAACAAGCACAGGCAGTGACCCGTTTGGAGCGCTTGGAATGTTTTCTGTCCCAGTTCGAGGAAGGCAGGACCTTTAATCAGACCTTTAATCAGGACCTTTAATCCTCGTGTCTGGAGACACGAGGCCTGTTTTCTCACCGACTGTAAACCTGGAAGTACCAGCACAAAGTCTAATGAGACGAACTACAACAGTAGCGTAAACATTTAGGAAATAAATTACTCTATAGAGTTTCACCTGGAAAAACTAAATCCAGGAAGTTAGATTGGGTCAGATCAAACCCTTTAGATATTTACATGTAAGAAATCGGAGAAAATCTTCCACTGAGAAAAACTATAAAGTTTTTTTGTTGTTGTTTTTAAACGGAAACAAAAAAATATAACATTGTCCTTAAATGCATTCAGCAGCAAAATCTTTTAAAAATAGTTTTACTTACCCAAAAAAGAAATTAAATATTGTCACAACTCAAAAAGGAAGGATCTCTGGTAGCAGTCAGTCTTGCAATAAATCAGAAAAAGCCTCTGACTGAAGACAGTTGCGGTAAGAAAATCTGCTGTTGGAAATAATTAATAAAAGTAATAATAATTTTTAATTATTATTATATTCAGTAGGTAGAAAAATTCAGAAAGAGTAAAAATAAACCTCAAATATCCTTAAAATACTCTGGCTGTTGGTAAGTGCTGCTAATCTACCTCCTTTGCTTTAGCAGCTCCACTTTAAATCTCTCATGTGTCTGTAAGGCGAGCGTCAACTTCCCAATCCTCTCTCTGATTTTTGGTCTTGCTGTATCTCCATAAAATACAAACATATTTGACTTTACAAGCTCAGAAAATGTAACTGTTTTTTCTAGAAATTATGTCAAATTAGTGTTAAACTTCCGAGTTTGTTTTTTCTTGCCATTTTAAAATTTTTGGAGCCAAGAAATTTAATAAAAAAAATTTGAGTTTTTGGCAGTTTGTACGTTTCCTATAAGAAACAAACATTCTTGGTTGAAGATCAACCAAAGTATTCTGAATATTTCCTTTTTTAAATATATTTAAATGCATATTAATTATATACTAAATATACATATCATATTTATATACAATATTGGACATATATTTAAACATTTTAAACATTTATAATGAAATATTTTTCATATGTAGAATGTTTTCAATATTCTAAATATTTTAAATGTTTTTTTTAATCACAACAATTCTCTCTTAACTAAGTTCAATGAGTCAGTTATTTCTTCTTGTTCCTTTTTTCGGCTAAATAAATAAATAAAAATGTTGGTGTTATAAAGAGGTCATTTCATCCTTTTGGGTTTGTGCCTCAAGTGTGTTATGCAACACTGTGTTCATGTAAAAAAGGTCGGCTCAGTTACAAAGCCCGAAACCCACACCGAAGGGAGTTATTCTCTCCCACGGACGACGCAGCGCCTGAACTAACCGCCTCATCTTCCCTCACTTGTCCACATAACCAGGAGCTGGCGAAGAAATGCCAAAATTATACGTTTAAAAACTGCCTTTGCCATACATTTCTGAATTTCTCCAGGGATTAAATAAGTTAAATGTTTCCGCTCTCGTCGGGAAACTTAGAAAGACACACAAAGGAAAATATTCTGAGGATTGGGTTGATGTTAAATCTGGTGTAAATCACAAAATAAAAATTAAAAAAAGAACTACAAAGCAGCAGTCAAGTAAGGCAGTGGTTAGAGATGGATATTTATTTTATTGTTTATTGTGATGAATTCCAATTAATTACGTTTTAAACCCTTAAAAACTGCCCATATTGCCAGTTTTATCATTTTCTCCAGTTTGTTCAAGGAAAGTATAAAAAAATTTTAATATATGATTACAAATGTGATTAAATGAAGTCCCACTTTTTATTCGACTGGTGACCTAAAGAAGCGCATCACAAATAAAATATTATTACAATAGTGACAAAATATCATGATGAAACATAAAGTCGCTAAACCTTAGTGATGGTAGTGGGATGTTGTTAAAAAAATAGAATAAACCTTTAAAAGTGGCCTAGTCAAAGTCTGTATTTAAACTAAATTGAGACATTTACCAGCTCAAATGTGGCTGAACTCCAAAAATGTCTCCACAATAAAATAAAATCACCTAATGGGAGTTTACTGTTATTATTATCCCTGTCGGGACATAAAACAGACACTAAATAGCAAAACTGTACAGAAAACTCAAGAGAATACGCCTGTTAAAATATCTGGGTGTTTTTCTCATTTAATAAATTAAGTAATTGCTAGAAAACAACTGTTTATATCCATCTAATAACAGAATTTAATGATTTCAAGCATTTTCAAACCAACCAACCAGTGAAACTTGTACTTTTTAATGTATAATCAAGAATTATTGACTTAAATAAAGCTTGTACTGTACTGAAGTTATTTGTAAGTTAGTTTTGTCTAATTTCAAATGTACTAAGATGTCTCACACTAGAAAAAAGTTTTGATGTTTTCCTACTTTCCTTTGTAGAAACAACTCAAGATGAACGAATTTAAATGATCACATTAATTTTAACGTTTGGCCAAAATATTCAAATAAGGGATTCTGTCATCTAATCACCGGTGACAACATTTACTCATATCTGGGTCGACAGGCGGTTTGCACTGCGAATAAATCTTGAACTCCTGAATTAGGCAAGCCATCCGTCTCTCTTTATCTCGTCACTCGGCTCGTTGTGTCTCAAAATCATCCTGAGAGATTGACTCTGAAGAGCAGAACGAGAGACGCTTCCATTAATAATGCACACGCAGACTCTGAATTCAACTCCAACTGATAATGCTTGTAAATAGTGACGCAAAGTGTTTCCTCTCAATAATGCAAAAGATGCGAGTTGGTTTACAGAGCAGAACTCCTCGCAGCGTTGTAAAAATAAATACGTCGATATATTTAGTCATGATGATTTCACTTAAGAAAAAATTAAACCATTTGGACGAAATTAATGCAAACGCTAAATTACTTTTTGACGTTTCGCAACAGTTCTCCTCCTGGCTCTTTTGTTTCTGATTTTAATATGTGACCATGACCATCATCCCTCTTTACAGGACCAGAAACTCAAGGCGAACGTCGGCCATCAAGGTTCCTCGGTTTCTGGTCCACTTGGGTTCTTCGTTCACAAAGACTCTTAAAAATATTTTAATTTAAATATTACGCCTCAAAATAGTGATTTCAATGCTTTTTATTTGTAAAAAAAAGACAAATTTTCAGTAATTTTAACCGTTAATATGTTGCAGAATTATATGAATTAAAGCGTTGAATTTGATGCGTCCAGAAAGATAAAAGTCCAAATCAAAGAAAAGCGGGCCGGACCCAGATATTTAACCGAACTATTCAACACATCAGGGAGTCATTGCCAGACTCTCAGCCGATTCAAAGTGTTCAGTTTCCTCCAATGCATGTCAAAGGTCAAGTTTGTGGAACCAGGGAACGATTCTGGACCTGAAATATTCACTATAAACTCAACTGTCCTAATCAGCAAATAACAGACTTACAATTAAGAACCAAAACAAATAAATACGTAAAAAGAAGTGACGTAGACATCGTGACAAATCCCAAAAATTACAACTACTA